ATTTATATATCTCAGTAAGAATTTATCTTAACACATACACAATTTTAAAAAGAGTTAGAGGACAATACCAGCCCTGTCTACTTGCCCCCATCCACTGGCTCGACCAGTCTCTTCCACGTGTTTTCGAACAGTATCATCCAATATTCTATGGATATCCTTGCACCCCTCTAATGCTCTCTCCAGTACTTTCGGTAGATGATCAGAATGAAAGCGCTGTGACATTTCCATTAGGGCAACCTGAATTGAAAAAAGGCAAAACAATATTAAAGATATGTTGATATAACAACAGACGGGGATTAGTGGAGAGTTTAAAAATACCAACCTGTCCAGAAATTGGAAGAGAAGCAACAGTTAGATTTGGACCGCCTGTACTTTCCTCCAAATGGCTGATGTCAACTAAAGGAATTTCACCATTGGCTAAACTTGCTGAACACGCAACAGCATATTCTCGCATACCAACGCCAGCATCTACCAAAGCTAATGTAGCTGCATTGACACAAGCACAGTAGTTACCCCCATCTGCTTGCAAAACCTTTAACAGAGAATCATAGAAATCTCAGCACAAACATTAATGACAGTGATTTTTAAAGGAATAGGCTAAATTTCAGTTAAGATTACCTCTACAAAGATATCTAACTGACTACGTGGATACAGCTCTGTCCTTATTGCTGACACTAATGCTTGTCGAAGATGAATTGACATTTCTTGGCTTTTCCTGTCACCACGAGGTCTATTTTTCCTCTCCCCTGTACTGAACACTGCCATACTGTATTGACAGTTGACAAAGGCTTCATCATGTGGAGCTCTGTTTCTTGCCTGTCCTCTAGGCTTTAACATGTAAAATACATATTGTGAGAAAACTTGAAAGGAATTACAGGAAGTCAAAGGAAATGGAGGTGCTCTTTTACCTGATGCGGTCCGTAGACAGTTGCCAGAACCTTGGTGTTGCCTTGTTCAAGATAAGCGCTCCCATCAGCTTGATTGAACACGCCCATTTTGCATCTAATATTTCGCAATTCATCTGGCCGTCTGCCATCCAAGCGCAAGCCTTGATCTGATAAAAGATCCATTGGACCTAAACACAGAATCAAAACAATTATGCCACACTTTCTTGGGGGTTAAGGCGAACCATAACAATCGAGAAATACTAACAAAACAGAAGGTGACCGGTTCAAAAAACGTATGGTGTGAAAACTTCTGTTCGACTTGCTTCACGAAGAAAGTTCAAATCACGTAAATAATTGTGAATGAGAATGAAATGAAAATAAACACAACCAGCCACTAAAAACACCTAACGCGTTCGCCGCGCTACCACTTTGAATAATCGGCAAGGCACATATTTGCAGTCATCACCGTCGTGCCCATAAAAGCTGTGCTGCTGTGCTGTCTGCTCCGTACTTTACTTTGTGCCGAAGAACAGTGGATAACGAGGCGGCAGACGTAATCTCCTTGTACGTGGAAGCACAAATCCCGGTGTACGGTGAGCCAGTTTCGAATATCCTGTTATCCCCTAAAAACGCGTTATTAATCGCCATCTCGTGGTGTCTCTGAGTCTCAATCTTCGGTTCGCCAATAACCTCTTCACATGGGCCGGCTCCCTATATTTTTCTGCAGTGAATCCGAAAGTGTCAATTTACCAGATATTTGCCTCTGCCCAGGTTTTTGTACAAATTTTATGGCCGCAATAAATTCACATTAGCATAGTTAATTGTTGCCTTTTAAGCCACCTGCACATACTGCCTAGTTGCTGAATAGTTACAAAAGAGATAATAATCCTCTATATTATTTTATAATTTGTAAGTTTTCTTTTCAATGAAGTGTGTGCGCTTGATTCATTATTATTTCTTTCTATTATTCTTTTTTTGGTGATAGTGAAATTACGTAAATGGCGCTTTGCCTTTTTTGCCTCATTGCATCATCTTCAGATTTTGCTCTGGTTTCAGGTCATTACCATGGTGGTTGCTGAGAAAAATCCTGACAGCGCTGCTGAGACGTGAGTATTGCCAACTTTAATTTTGCCTTGAGAAATTTGTTTAGATTTGCTCTAGGAAAAGGCCATTCTTCTTGCCCTTTATTTTTCAGTGTTGATGGAAAGTCAAAGAAACAGTTGAAGAAAGAAGCTAAGGATGCTGAAAAAGCAGCCAAGAAGGATGCCCACAAGGCAGCAAGGGTATGCCGAGTGTTGAGATAGACAGTGTGATGCATTTTGTTTCATACCTTAATTGTTTTGCTTTTTCAAAAAATTCAGGGTGGTGGAGGTGGTGCCGAAGAGGCTGAGGATGGTGGTGTTGACACATCAGCTGGAAAGTATGGTTCACTTGGAATGATTCAGAGCAATGGAGATACTCAACTTGCAGCCAGACAGTTTGTTCATGTGCGTGACCTTGAAAATGACAAAGCTGATCAGATAGTCTGGGTAAGAGGTCGTCTTCACACCAGCAGAGCTAAAGGTGAGTGAAAAGTCAGCACTTTACTTGCATCTGTTTGTTGCTCACCTACACCATTCTAAAATTTTCCTTTCCTCAACTTTTTCTAATTACAGGCAAACAATGTTTTGTTGTTTTGAGACAGCAAGAATTCACAGTTCAGGGTCTCCTTGCTGTCAATGACACCATTAGCAAACAGTTTGTTAAATTTGCTTCCAAGTGAGTAAATTCTTTCTCCATTTAACTGAAAATACCATGTATCTGCTTTTATTATTTTTTTGACATCAGCTTTTATTTTTTTAAGTGTTACCAAGGAAAGCATTATTGATGTGGAGGCCAAAGTATCAAAGGTGCCAAAAAAGATTGAGTCATGCAGCCAGAAGGATGTGGAACTACACATCCAGCAATTGTGGACTGTGAGCAGTGCGAAGAGTCAGCTGCCACTACTTATTGAGGATGCATCTCGGCCTGTAAAGGATGAGGAGGTATTATTAATGTTATGTTGTCCTTAGTGGAATAGATAGTCCCTCAGTGTACAGTATGTAAAATTTCAACTTCTTTGCAGGAAGGAGAAGGTCTTAACATTCGTGTGAATCAAGATACTCGCCTGGACAACAGAGTTTTAGATCTGCGTACTCCTGCTAATCAGGCTATCTTTAGGATAGAGGCTGGAGTCTGCCAATTGTTCCGTGATATTCTCACTAAAAAGGGTTTTGTGGAAATCCACACACCAAAAATTATTTCTGCTGCCAGTGAGGGAGGAGCTAATGTTTTCACTGTGTCATACTTCAAGAGCTCAGCATACTTGGCACAGAGTCCCCAACTGTACAAACAGATGGCTATTGCTGCTGACTTTGACAAAGTCTTCACTGTGGGTGCTGGTAGGTGTCAATTCATTTTTATTATTATATTCATTAGTTTTTATTTGCTGCTACAAGGTACCTATTTTTAACTTTTACAAAATTAGTTTTCAGAGCTGAAGACAGTAACACCCATCGTCATCTTACTGAATTTGTGGGTCTTGATCTGGAGATGGCATTCAAATATCATTACCATGAAGTAGTTGATACCATTGGAAATACTTTCACTGAGATCTTCCGAGGCCTACGTGACAAGTAAGAGTTAAATTTATTACAACTTTCTCAATTTAAAAAAAATTATCTCAATAATCGGTCAACTAAACTTACTATTTTATTCTAGTTTTGCCGTAGAAATTGCTACAGTTGGACAGCAATTTGCAGTTGAACCTTTCCAATTTTTGGATCCTCCCCTCAAGCTAGAGTTCCCACAAGCTATTGCTATGCTACGTGAGGCTGGTGTTACCGTTGGGGATGAAGATGATCTCAGCACTCCTGATGAAAAACTCTTGGGTCGTCTTGTGAAAGCTAAGGTGAGTAAACATCAGAAAACCTGCTTCTTGGAGCACTTTTGTCAAATTACTAGAATGCAATATTACCTAATAGTGGAAGCATTATAGTTTTAAACCTGCAAGCATAGATGAGTTAGAAATTAGAATTAAATGTCTCACCTAAGATGCATGCCATTGCTGATCTGCTAACAACCCTTTGTGTTTTTTTCTTCTACTTTGCAGTACAACACTGACTTTTACATCCTTGATAAATATCCATTGGCTGTAAGACCCTTCTACACAATGCCTGACCCCAACAACAAGGTAAGTCCTTAATGACTATACTATCTACTTTGATTTTCAGTAGTGACATTCATTTACATCACATTGTACAATTAGTACCAGCAAAATATAAAGAATGGTTTCATTTGTTTTTCAGAAAGCATCAAATTCTTATGACATGTTTATGAGGGGTGAAGAAATTTTATCTGGTGCCCAGCGTATACATGACCCAGAGTTCCTCATTGAACGTGCTAAACACCATGCAGTAGGTACGTGAAGTGCCAACATTCATTTAACTGTGCACTGAAACCACTGAGTACTTTTATGCAATAGAATTTGACAACATATTTTAATGATTCTCTTTCTCTGTTCCAGATTTGGAAAAGATCAAGGCTTACATCGATGCATTCAGATTTGGTTGTCCTCCTCACGCAGGAGGTGGTATTGGTATGGAGCGAGTTGTTATGCTTTACCTTGGCCTTGACAACATTAGGAAAACATCCATGTTCCCTCGTGACCCCAAACGTATCACCCCTTAAAATGAAATGCTTAATCTGACTGCTTTGTGCCTTAATTTAAGACTGACCCAGTACATTTCACTGAAACCCTTTGATGCTTAAATTATTGCTATTTTGGACATCTTTGAGTTATCTGCAACTCTGGA